ACAATATTACAGTGCTAGCCTTCTGAGGCGTATATATTGACTTTATTCCCTGTATAAAATGTTCTCCAAAGTCCATACTTTCCAAAACTTTAAATGTAAACAGCCAATTCAAATTATCAAAAGCTTTCTCTGCATCCAAAAAAATAAGAGCCTTTTTACATTCATTATGATATTGTAAATATTCTATAATATCCAGCACGACCCTAACATTATCTCTTAATTGTCTTTTAGGCAAAAATCCACACTGATCGTGATGAATAAATTCCTGCAATTTTTTTTTTAACCTTTCTCCCAACACTGAAGCAAATATTTTATAATCATTGTTCAACAATGAAATTGGTCTATAATTCTTAATTAAAAGAGGATCCTGTCCTTTAGGTAGAAGCGCAGTGTTGGCTTCCTTCCATGACTCATACCTACAATCTTACAAATCTGATGAGGGATTTGAAAACATTCTGAAGAGTACAGAAGTTGGCAGATCTTCAGAATTTTGGTTGAGCACTAAGTTTGTAACTCTATGGGTTCTAAGCTCTTCAAAAATTTAATTTGCAAAAGATATATTGCAGTGCTTAAATTTTACTTTACTTTTTCCTTAGATATTTTTAACAGAGAACATAATTTTGACACGCAACAGAGGTGAGAATGCAGATCAAGGTATAACAAAGTACTGCTTCTCTCTCCCAGTATAGCACCTACTGCCATTAAACAAAACTCTCTTCTTTACTAGACCAAGATTATTCTAACTTGCTACACTAATGGATGAAACCAACCAGAATGCATCTCAAGAGCTGCATTTAAGAGCAGAAGGGGTTACAATGGAGAAAAGATGAAAAAACTCCTCTCCTTTACGACATCTTTACTGACTGCTTGCAATTATTACATAATCACATGAAATACGGTGACTATGTCCTAAATACAGAAAATGTGTTGACTGTGCATATTAAAATCAGCCTGCACTCAACTCTTACCTGAAACAAAAAGGAACTTAAAATACTACAAGGAATGTATCATTACTCCTCATAACATGGGTAGGTTCAACTTTTAGTAAATATTAATTTCCTCACCATTTTACCCTTACTCTGTCTTTCATTCTGCAACATCAAATATATTACAAGCATTCACATCCTAGGAAAAAACATTATTTTATAGCTTAAACTTTTAATTGCTACATTTAGTTTTTCCATGTGTAACACCCAAGGTATTTTATAACTATAAAATGCACAATAAGATCCCAGTAAATAATTAAGATAACAAATAAATGACAATAAAATACTAAAAAGACAGTGGTCCATTAAAATGTTGTCAGAATGCAATTAAGAGGAAAACTGTTCAGCAAAGCAAATTTGTTTTCACTCTCATGCAGAAGTATGGAAATTCCAATGCAGCTTTTCCTGGAGTTAGCATTGTTTGGAGGAGAGAACTGAACATGTTTTGTTCTTTGAAATAAAAATCCCGCACAGACATTTTTAAAACTAGTAACCGTTTAAAATTAAACTTCACTCCATTATTGCTGCTTTATCATTTCCCACTGAAAAGGGAGGAAAAGTTGGACCTGTAGCACCATCAAGTGGCAGAATTGCTGCACAGGAAGCTTTGTTAAATCACCTTGAGTAAACGCCGCTAAACTATTCAGCTGCATGAAAAATTAAAGTAGAACTCAGTCAGTAGGCTGCGTATGGACTTAAAGTCTATTTCTTAGAAAGTAAACAGAACCACCCTCTATCCTATCGCCTTGATTGGAATACACTCCTCTTCAAAATAAATAAATAAAAATGAAACAATCTGCATCCTTCTCTGAATAATGAGATCCTCTTGTGCAGTTTTCTCTTGGGCTGATCCCTTCTTGATGGATTGACAGTAGATTTGATTCCTGCTGGAAAAGTTGGATTTGACTCTGTTTGCCTTGGGATTTCACTGACGTGTCCCTAGAGCACTGCAATGTTTCTCACGCCTTCTGCCTTATCACCTGGGTAAGCTACCACTGGAGACTGCTTATGCCTCAGCCAGGCAGATTGGTAGAAAATACATTCCTGAAAGTGAGAGTGAATGATCTGGAGTGATCCGAAGATAATTATGGGTTATTAGTTCGTATCTGTATGTCACAGCATGTTCAGTTGCACCTTGCCCATACAGAAGGCTGTGGTGCAAGGACACATCATAGAAGACACTCTCCTAGTTGTACAAACCTATTATTTAGAATAGCCTGGACGCAGTTATAGGGTTAATAACACCAGCTCCTTATTTGTTTATCTTGTGAGGTTATTAGTGAGGTTATTAGTTACATTAACATTAACACATTGTTAATCCTTTCCTAAGAAATGACTTGGATAGAGAGAGTGATTGTTGATGCTAGTCACAGAATTCCTCAGAGATATCTAATTTGTCAGTGTAATCTGCATTTGCATAACCAGCTTGACTTCTCCACCTATCCCCTTGCCTCACCTAAATTTAAATCCTCCATCAGTCTACCCCCTCCCCCCATGCATCCATTGAAGTGTGCTGCAACTCACAAAAGCGGATGCCTAAGAAGTAGGAGTGGCCTGTAGCTTTTAAAAGCAGCTTCCACACACTGTGATGTCTAGAAGCATAATGATGCCATCTGTCATGGGAGATATTTTCCTGAGAAGACACTTTTGCTGTCTCACCCTCTTCCTTCTTGCCACAAAGGGGGCGAGTCCAGCTCATCTAGAAATACAACCCCAAGAATCTGAAAACACTTTCCCTCCACTCTGGCAGGTAGCGCCTGAAAACTTTGAAGATTATCCCATCCAAGACCACAAGACTGTCATTGATCCCTGGAACTATTTAGAGAGATTGGGAATGTATAAGATCTTGCTTAAATTCTCAACTAATTATTTCAGGGGACTCGGACCTAACAACACCAACAATATTTTATGGGGATTGCCATTACAGCACGGCTGGCAATATGGATCAGGTAGGAGCAATTTCTTTTACTGTAATATTAGAGCTCATGAGAGCAAAGTTAGGTTGATTCCAGGCCATGAAAAGGATGACACTTTTCTCTTTCAACCAAGCTATCATCTTAAACTGTTTGTAAGTTTGAAGGAAAGATACAGATTCTTTCACATCATGAAGGAATGCAGTGCAGCAACCACATGACAAACTAGATTGACCAATGTCTGTGAAATTGCTACTTGTGATATGAACACTGAAACAAATAGTGTTTGTTTCTGATAATGATAATCAGTCATATCAACAGAGACTCTTAATAAGCATTTTATATGGAAATGCTGCATGAATTAATAGGGCAATAATAGTTACAAAGAGAAATGTTTTCCACCTTGTTTCTTTAGCTCAGGGCTATAATACTCACTTGATGCTTACTAGGGTTCTTGCCTCATTTTATTTTATTTTTTCAAGGAGAACTGATATGCTGCAAAGAAAACAATAGCTTCCACCATCACTTGCCTTAGTTGCTACAATGCCCTTGGGCCCAGCAAATGATTCATAGACATGATTAGCTTTCAGGACCACCTGTGAGGGTTAGGAAAAGAAGGCCCTGTTTTGACCTTCATGAGTGAGTGATTCCAAATGATAGCAATCTGGGATAAGTGAGCAAGCCATATCATTCTTTCTCCAACACTGTTAATATACATGATGTCGTTCAGCAGGAAGTAGTATCAATGCATTAAGGATGCCCAGTTATATATCCCCACCACCAGAAATGCAGGGCATGTTCTTACCCAATGTCTGGAGGCAGTCAGGGACTGAAAAAAACAATTTGAAAATGAATCCTAGCAAGATGGAATTGCTGTTTGTTCCGAAGGTGTCAGCAGTGGTCCTTCTGATGGCCCTGGACAAGGTCACACTCACCTGAAAGAGCAGGCATGAGATTTGGAGTTCTCTTGGATTCATGGTTTCTACTTTATCTAGTGATGGATAATATGGCTAGGGTAGCCTTTGCCTAGCTTTGGCTGATGTGACAACTGTGACCCTTCACACAACAGAGGCCTGGGTAGCAGTCATTCATGCCCTCATTATCTTGAGATTGGATTACTGCAATGCATTCTTTTGGGGGTCTATCCAGAAATTCAGCTGGTACAGACAACAGTGCACATGCTGGTGGGCGAGAGCTACTTCAGCAGTGTTACATTTATATTGTAACCTTTGCATTGCTCACCAAGATGTTTCTGGGGACCATTTAGAGTGCTGTTTTTGACCCATAACGCCCTATATGGCTGTGGTCTGTTATTTATGGGACCATCTTCTCCAAACAGAGCTGGCCAGCCTGTGCAATCAACCCAGGAAATGAACAGTTCTTTCCCCCTTGTGGTAGCCCTGTCATCCTGGAATGCCCTATCCCCAAAGCTGGATAGCCCTAAAGTTTTAGAGTTAAGAAGTCAGTGAAGATACCACTATTCCATCAGGATTTG